CATCTACTGGGTATATTGTTACTACATTTTGTACTATGAAAGCCAGTACAACTTAGAAATAGAAAATATCTTTCCAACAATTGACAAGCTCTTGCAACTTTTACAAAATTTTCTACACTAGATTCATCCCATTTCAATATCATTGTTACTTATTGGTACGAAGTACTTCTCGGTGACCCCCAAATCAGCATATACAGTCAGTCAAATGTTCCAAACCCGCCCATCACAAGTCACATTTTTCAAATGATACATAGTACATGCAAAAAACAACACATTTTTGATTACTTTTTTAGATTTATTGCTTTTAAAATATCAAATCAACATTTTTTTTTTAATATTGATGGTGAATAACTGATGAAATCAGTAATAGCAAAGAAAATGTTTAATACCAGAAAAAGTTTTTGAACAAATTAAATATTTCCCATTTTAACAATTTAATTTTGACTGTAAAAAAAGACAAAGTTTGAAAATCACAAAAATGAAACCTGAGAAAAGATTTCTCTATTTGTCACAACCTAATAATTATACCATGCAAAAATGATAGAAATACATTGAGTGATGAGATGGTTAACACGATATAAATTCTGATATTAAATCACACATGTAACAAGAAAATAAATAATTGATCTTTGTTAAAAAATCAAAAATCAACTACATGTATAAGCAAATAATCTACAATAATTTTTGTTTAGTCATGGATAAATTAGCACCCAACTATTGAAATTTCCATGTTCATCAAAAAATGACCAGAAATAGGAATGTTCGAGTATCCGTTTCTATTAGCATTGTTTCCTGAAATTAAGGCAGGTTTTCAATCTTAGATTTATGTCCCAGCATAACTAATTAGAAAATCAATATCATAATATTCATTACAGTATACAAATTAATACTTTCTATTGTTTTCTTGGACACCAGCAAAGGTTCATAGGGCAACAAAACAATGTACAAAGATGTACAATGCAAATATGAAATGTGAGCAAATAGAGACAAGTCTTTAAAAATAAATAACCAATTCCAATATAAAAATTATTAAAAAATACAACATAATATAAATATATTATTGATTCATGAAGATTATTATTTTACACTATTTACAATTATTTGTAAAAATGATACATACCAAACCGTAAGTGATGAAGCTATTAGTGATGTAGCAATTAATAAAATGTACAGTTGTTTTTCAAGCAAAAATGTATTCAGCATGCTAAATCACTGGTAAGATGGATAGAACAACAATATAGCATATTTAATAATATTAAGTATACATGAAAAACAAATAAATATTCAATATGTTACCCCATTTTACAAACTACACCTGACATGAAGGCAAATGTTCTGCTTGTGTGAGAACAGCCATATTACGGCTGTGATACTCGTAGTACATTTATAAAAACATAAATTTTACTCTCAAAAACAATCATATTCATCACAAAATACAGAGTATTGTCATCTGTGTGTTAATGGACTGCAAAATATACCAAATATTCCTATTCAAAAACCATGCATCAAATTTGTGTCTAAGTGAAGGCATGTTATATTAAGCACCAATAAATAAAAATGATAACAATTTTAAAGTGATTAAAAATATCAAACTTTATGCTACCCATTTATGGGAATGCAAACCAATTTGCATACTTGGACGGTTAAACTGGAAGACGTAAATTAATTGAAAGACTGATCACCACTAAATACAGAGAAAAACTTGGCTATAAGCATCATAAAAATATGCACACTCATTGTAATAAAACACTATCTACTAGGCATACATCTAACAATTATATTGAAAGTCTAAAAGAGACTGATCTACACACGACAAATAATAACCAGACTTGATATATCAACTGTATATATAGATGATCTTTATGCTAATTCATCAATGTCTAAATCATCATCCCAATCAGTTACTGATTGGAGATTGTGTTTATGTTAATTCATCAATGTCTAAATCATCATCCCAATCAGTTACTGATTTGAGATTGTGTTTATGTTAATTTATCAATGTCTAAATCATCATCCCTATCAGTTACTGATTGGAGATTGTGTTTATGTTAATTCATCAATGTCTAAATCATCATCCCAATCAGTTACTGATTTGAGATTGTGTTTATGTTAATTCATCAATGTCTAAATCATCATCCCAATCAGTTACTGATTTGAGATTGTGTTTATGTTAATTTATCAATGTCTAAATCATCATCCCTATCAGTTACTGATTGGAGATTGTGTTTATGTTAATTCATCAATGTCTAAATCATCATCCCAATCAGTTACTGATTTGAGATTGTGTTTATGTTAATTCATCAATGTCTAAATCATCATCCCAATCAGTTACTGATTTGAGATTGTGTTTATGTTAATTTATCAATGTCTAAATCATCATCCCAATCAGTTACTGATTGGAGATTGTGTTTATGTTAATTCATCAATGTCTAAATCATCATCCCAATCAGTTACTGATACAGAACTCTTGCCTGTACCATGTCCACTACCAGCCTCCTTTGATGGACCTGGGCCTGCAATTAGACAATAAAACCAACATTAGTGAGCACAACACTGTATGAAAAGTTGCATTAGCTAGTAGTATAAAAACCTGTTGTCACATTACTCTACTCTATTGTCAAATTCAGTCTAGTCTTTTGATCTCTTATCTATATGTACTGTAACCCAAAACATATTTGTCATGCAGAGTACACTATAACACAAAGCTTATCTATTATCATGCCAAGTAGAGTGGCCTATAACTGAAAACTGATCTATTGTCATGCCAAGTAAAGTGGCCTAGAACTGAAAACTGATCTATTGTCATGCCAAGTAGAGTGCTCTATAACTGAAAACTGGTTTATTGTCATGCCAAGTAGAGTGCTCTATAACTGAAAACTGGTCTATTGTCATACCAAGTAGAGTTGCCTATAACTGAAAACTGATCTATTGTCATGCCAAGTAGAGTGGCCTATAACTGAAAACTGATCTATTGCCATGCCAAGTAGAGTGGTCTATAACTGAAAACTGGTCTATTGCCATGCCCAGTAGAGTGGCCTATAACTGAAAACTGGTCTATTGTCATGCCAAGTAGAGTGCTCTATAACTGAAAACTGATCTATTGTCATGCCAAGTAGAGTGCTCTATAACTGAAAACTGGTCTATTGTCATGCCAAGTAGAGTGCTCTATAACTGAAAACTGGTCTATTGTCATGCCAAGTAGAGTGCTCTATAACTGAAAACTGGTCTATTGTCATGCCAAGTAGAGTTGCCTATAACTGAAAACTGATCTATTGACATGCCAAGTAGAGTTGCCTATAACTGAAAACTGATCTATTGACATGCCAAGTAGAGTAGAGTGGCCTATAACTGAAAACTGATCTATTGTCATGCCAAGTAGAGTTGCCTATAACTGAAAACTGATCTATTGACATGCCAAGTAGAGTAGAGTGGCCTATAACTGAAAACTGATCTATTGTCATGCCAAGTAGAGTTGCCTATAACTGAAAACTGATCTATTGTCATGCCAAGTAGAGTTGCCTATAACTGAAAACTGATCTATTGACATGCCAAGTAGAGTAGAGTGGCCTATAACTGAAAACTGGTCTATTGTCATACCAAGTAGAGTTGCCTATAACTGAAAACTGATCTATTGTCATGCAAAGTAGAGTGGCCTATAACTGAAAACTGATCTATTGCCATGCCAAGTAGAGTGGTCTATAACTGAAAACTGATCTATTGCCATGCCAAGTAGAGTGGCCTATAACTGAAAACTGATCTATTGTCATGCCAAGTAGAGTGCTCTATAACTGAAAACTGGTCTATTGTCATGCCAAGTAGAGTGGCCTATAACTGAAAACTGATCTATTGCCAT